TAGGTGTGAAAATGCCAGACCTCAATCTGCCTGAGCTCCAGACTCAAGCCAGGTGAGCAGGGCTCCTGGCCTGGCCACACCTCTGTGGTTCTCAACCCGGGGAGATTTTTGGTCCCGGGAGACATTTTGAAATGTCTGGGTCATTTTGGTTGTCATATGTGAGGAGGAAGGTAAATGGGGAACTTCTGACACTTAGCCGGTAGAAGCCAGGAATACTATTTAACACCCAACAAGGCACAGCTCCCACAAGAATCATCTGGCCTGAAATGTTAATGGTGCCAATGTTGAGAACCCTGTCTGTAAGTAAGTGCTGCAATGTTTTTGTATTTCACAGTTGAAGAAACTGAGGCAACAGAAGGGAAAATTCTAGTAAGATCAGAGCAGTGAGTTCACTCCAGGGCTCTTCGCTGTGGATTCAGTGCCTTCCTCCCAAATCAGTGGACTGGGAAGCCCACCAAGAAGACTGGAGCTCAGCTTTTGGCACCACCTTGTGCTGGCACTGGGCTTGTAGCTTCGCAAGTTCTGGGGGAGAAGGTTAAAAAAATGACCAACAAAAATTAGAATGGGTTACAATACCAAGTACTGGTGAGGACAAGGAGTGATGGGAAGCCATCTGCTGTTGGTGGGAGGAGTATAAATTAGTACAACCATTTTGTGAAGTAATACAGCATTATCTAGTAAAGTTGAAGGCATATAAGTTACTAGCCATCCATGTGGTTTTCATGTACACTTGTCTAATGGCTAGTAAAGGTTAGCAATCTTTCACAGAAGAAAACGACAGAAAAAGGTCACCAACAGATATGAATTAATCAAGCATACTTTCTTGTCAGGCTCCCAGATTTCAGGCCTTGACTTAAGCTCAGGAAAAATAATGCCCTACCTGGGTTCTCCCTCTCACCCCACTTTTCCAACCCTTGCTGGTCTCCCCCGACAATTCCACCATCGTCACCTGCCCCTGCCCCTGCCCCCACCCCCATCATGCAAGGGAGTGAAAAAAATCCCAGAACTGAAGAACAAGATCCAGGAGTGGACACCCAATGACCTTCTCTCTGGGCCCTGACCCCTCTTCTGATTCAGTGGGAGGCTTCCCTGAGGGGTCAGGGCTCTTTGTTCCTCCAGGCCTGGGAGTGACCTCACATGCATTTCCTTCTCAGTTCTCAGCCCTGCTCACCCACACAAGCACCTGCTCACCAGAACCACTGTCTGCTTCACAAGCCCCACTCAACTGCAGGCACTGACCTCCCCCTGAAGACCTTGTGGTGGCCAGGTTTTTCTACACCTGCTGGTCATCAGAGCTTCCTGATGGGTTTTCCAGTTAGGAAATTATGCTTGAGGATGGATCTTAAGGAAATATGCTGTGTGAAAAAGCCAGTCTGCAAAGGTTCCATACATACTGCATGATTCTGTTTATTTAACATTTTCCAAATGACAAAATTATAAAGCTGGAGAACAAATTATTGATTTCCAGGGATGGGGTGGCTGTGCGTATAAATGGGAAGCACAAGGGTCCTTGTCATGGAACTGTTCTGTATCTTGGCTGTGCTGGTAGTCTCATCATCAACGCATGCAATAAGATTGTATAGAACTAAATACACACATGTGCCTGTAAAACCTGTGAATAGAATGAACTGTATTTGGGTCTGTGATGCTGTACTAAAGTTAGGCAAGTTGTTACTATTGGGGTAAACCAGGCAAAGTATGTACAGAATTTCTCTGTATTATTTCTAAAAAATGCATGTGAATCTATAATTGTCTCAAAAAGTTCTTTATCAAATTTTTTAAAAAGATTATATTTATTTATTTTCAGACAGAGGGGAAGGGAGGGAGAAAGAGAGAGAGAGAAACATCAATGTGTGGTTGCCTCTCATGCATCTCCTAGTGGGGACATGGCCTGCAACCCGGGCGTGTGCCCTGACTGAGAATCAAACAGGTGATCCTTTGATTTGCAGGCCGGCACTCAATCCACTGAGACACACCAGCCAGGGCTTTATCTCAAAATTTAAAATGGCCACAAGATTTGAATAGACACTTTACTCAAGGAGATATACACAAAATAAGCATACAAAAAGATTATCACATAATTAGTCATTAGGGAAATGTGAATTAAAACCATGAGAAAGAGCAAGAAACTGGAAATCTATCTGAAAGAATAATGAAAGAAAATTCCTTGATTTGGTGAAGAAAATAGACATGCAAGTCCAGGAAGCACAGAGAGTCCCAAACCAGAGGAACCCAAAGAAGCCCACACCAAGATACATCATAATTAAAATACCAAAGGTTAAAGATAAAGAGAGAATCTTAAAAGCAGCAAGAGAAAAACAGTTAATTACCTACAGGAGAATTCCTTTAAGACTGTCAGCTGATTTCTCAAAAGAAACTTTGCAGGTTACAAGGGATTGGCAAAATATATTCAAAGTCATGAAAAACAGGGACCTAAAGCCAAGATTGTTAAATAAATAAGTTAGTAAGTAAGTAAATAAAGTAAAACTATGATACCCCATTCACACCCACTAGAATACCTGGAACAAGAAAGACAGACAGAAGAAAGTGTTGCTGAATATACAGAGCAATTGGGACCCTCACACCCAGCTGGTGAACATGTAAAACAAAACAATCATTTTGGGAAAGCTTTTTCAGATTCCTAAAGGTTTAACATAAGCATACCAGAGAACACAGCACTTCCACTTTGATATCTACCCAAGAGAAATGAAAACATAAGTCCACCTAAAATCCTGTGCGTGGAGCTTCATAGTGGCATTATTGGTTATAGGCAAAAATACAGGAAAAAATCCAAGTGTATGTGAACTGAGGGGAGACAAATCGAATGTGGTATCTCTGTGCATTGGGACACCCTTTGCTAATGAATGAAGAGGAACTACATATGCACTTTACAATATGAAGGAACCTCTGAAACATTAAACCAGAAGCAAAATAAGAGTGCTTATTTTACAGTCCCGTTTACATGAAGTGTTTGGAAAAGGCAAATCTAGGGAGACACATAGCAAATTAGTGTTTGTGTGGGGCTGGGGTGGGGGGAGACTAAGGAACTCTGTGGGGTGCTGGAAGGTTCTCACACTGGATTGTGAGATGATCTCTGATGCACTGAAAATTGCACTGGAAGAATTTTGTGGCAAGTCATACTTCCACAAAGCTGTTAACAAAATGAAAGAGAAGATGCAGGGGAGAGGTGATGGCTGAAGGAAGGTCTCAGGGAGACATAAGAGAACAAGTAAATTAAGAACAAAAGGAGCGCTGGCTGGTGTGGCTCAGTGGATTGAGTGCCAGCCTGCAAACCGAAAGGTTGTTGGTTTGTTTCTCAGTCAGGGCACATGCCTTGGTTGTGGGCCAGGTCCCCAGTTGGGGATGTGTGAGAGGCAACCACACATTGATGTTTCTCTCCCTCTCTTTCTCCCTCCCATCCCTTGACTCTAAAAATAAGTAAGTTAAATCTTTTAAAAAAGAAAAGAAAAGAACAAAAGGAGAGTGGCCCTGGGCCCTCAGCTTTTTTGAGAACAAGCCAATCAATGCCAAGCAGGCTGTTAGCATCACTGCGCCCTGACTTTTCTGATGTCCACTCCCCTGTAAAACACACAGAGAAGGGGTGTTTATCCTGATTAACAGGTGGTGAAAGGAGGTGGAAGAGGGGGCTTACCTCTCTGAGGTCACGCTCAAGTGGTGCAGACACAGAAAGGCTTGGATCTCCTGATACCTCACTTGGTCCGTGTGCCAGGCTCACCCTCCCCCACTCCATGCATCACAGCATTGCTTTATTACTTACTGAAGAACAAACCTCCTTTTTCCTTTTCTCCTCTTCTTTCAAGCAATCAAGTTGTGGAGCAAAAATCATTTTCTGCCGCCCCTCACTGCAAAGCTCCTCTTTCTGACCACTGCCAGAAATGGGATTTAACTCGGGGAAAAACAGCCCAGGGGCGCAGAATGCTGACCAGATGCCTCTGTGAATGCTCCTGAAATGCTGTCCCATGAGGTGCTGGGTGAGAGCAGGACCAAAGGACCGCAGAGAATGGACAGGGTCCCCAAAATGGTCAGGGCATGTCTTCTCTCCCAGGCTTTCTGAAGGGAAGCACGGGCATGCATAGAAGGAGTAACTCCACAGGTCCAAGAATCTGGTTCCCACAGGGAGAATCTGAGATTATGTAAAAGAGAGAAGACCACTATCTCTGCCCCCATGGGCACTTCATGGGCACTTCATTGGGTATGACATTGTCATGCATACTTATGGTGACATGAGAAATTAGGGAAAAAAGAGAAAGGGAGGCAGAGAGAAGTAGCCTAGGTGCATTTCATTGCACTCCACAGTCCTATCTCTTATGTCCTAATTCCTCCCAGGAGATTCCAGACCCTTCCATCATTTGATTCCCTGGACCCCAAGTTCACTTCGGGCTTTACCAATCAATAAATGCACGATCTACAACACAGTCCACCAAGACAAGCCCTGTTGAACCTGGAAAAAAAGTATTGAGATCAAAGCGCAGGTAGGAGCCATGAGCCCTCCCTGCTGTCAGCTGAGCACTCTTTTTCCCTGTAGCATGGAGGCCCAGAGTGGAAATCCAAGATCCTTGGCTCAGGCTTTGGCCATGTGTGCAGATAAGTGACATTTGTGGAGTTATTGTCCCCAATTACTCTCATATGTGCTCCAAATCACATGTCCTGTTACACCACAGGGAGCAGGGGGAAGGCCTATACCTGTGCAGAAGGAAGAGAGAGACAGCCCCCATATCTCAGCACAGCCCCTCCAAACTCCTCCCACCGCCAAGGAGTCTCACCTGGGTTCTCCTCACACACCAAAATGCACAAGCAATGACAATACAACAACAGCAGCAATACCAGAATGATTGGCATCCACTGAATGCACGGCGGCCTTTCCTGAGAAAGGGCCTCATGATGATCTGGGCACCCCAGAGCCACAGGCCTGCTCACTCCTCCCCCGCCCTGGTCCCTCACCCTACCAGGGTCCGAAACCCCTCCAGGCTTACTCAGGTTCATGAGGGCACAGGGTGTGCACTGTAATTCACACTGTGGTCCATGTAGCATGGGACCCTCTGCTCCTCTCCTTCGGACACCCTATGGACACCCAGGTCTGGTAGGTCCCACTCCTGTCAGGAAGGGTTACCCCCAGAATGCTGGGGTTCTGGCTCTGGGGTTCTCAGGCCAGTGACATGTTCTGGGGAGAGTAGCCGAAAGCCTAGCTTGTCAGGGTGACTGTGCCTTCCAAGACCTGAATGAAGGTCATGTTCATGGCTGGGGGTCCTGGGGAAGAAATGGCAGGGCCAGTAAGGCTTGGGGCCAAGGTCTGCTCCCTCTAGGGAGATGGGAAAACAGGGTGCTCCTCCCACTGGCCCAGCTCTGTCTGACCCCTTACTGACCCCCACCTTCCTCGAGTCTGTTCTGCACCCTGGAGCCTAGTTCCTGTAGAATGGCAGGAGGAAAGGCAGGGATAGGGCCTCCCTCTCTTGGACCCTCATATTGATGCTGAGGCAGGGAGGAGGGGGTGTGAGAGGTGGACTCCTGGGGTGGCCTGGCCTGCTGTGACAGTTGGGCTGGAGCCTGGAGGGCCGGTCCCCAGTCTAAGGGCTTCCTCTCCTGCCAGAGACCCTCCTTCCCAGGACCAGTGTTCTGTCTGCCAGAGGGCCCACTGCATCCCTAGATTGTCACGGGGACAGTTCAGCTCCCTTCCCACCCCTCCTGTCTATCCAGTGGCATTAACAAGACAGGCCAACCACAATACAACACACCAACAGAACATTTATACATCCCCTAGCACAGGGAGGGTCTCTTGGGGCAGAGTGAGGGGGGCCTCAGGGGTCTGCGGAAGAGAAAGGCCCCTGCCTAGGGCCACACCTGTTCTCTCTGTGAAGCCCACCCAGGATCCCAGATATCTGCGTGCTCTTCCACAAAGCCCTCCCTGCACATGGCCCAGGCACCCCTGCTGTGAGAGCCCTCTGTGTCCCAGGACATCATGGGTTCCACAGACAAGGTCTGAGCTAAGGACTGGACACTGTCCATCCATGTCTTTGGTGACAGGAGAGGAAGGGCTGCCATCACAGTGGAAATGCCTGAAGCCCCTGCACTGTTGTCTTCCTTGGTCTCTCAGTACCAAATCTGCTGGACCAGTTCTAACCCTACCCCATGCAGCAGTGACTTCTCCAGTCCCTGTGTCCCTCTGCTGTTCCAAGCCAAGTGAAGAACTCCAGCCAGAGGGCTCGCACTGCTCTCATGTCTTCCTGTGCTGGCTACATGAGCGTCACCTCTGCGCTGAAATCCACAGACCCTCACCCCCTCACCCCTACTCCAGGCAAATCCTGTGGAAAGAGATAGGCCCTGCTCTCTGCCCTAAACTGTCCTGGAACAGCCTTGCGCCACTCTTGCCCCATCCCCACTCTCCTGTCCTTTCTGGTGCTGCAGGGCCATGATTCCTGCCTGAGTCATCCTGAGGTCGTCCTGTTCTCTGTCTAGTCCTTGGTCCCTGTGCCCCCATGTCTCAGCTCCCAGGCCTGTGTCTGCCCACTGCCCCCGGGGCTCTGCCCTGCCTTTCTCACAACCACAGTGTGGGAAGGACCAGCCATCCAGGTGTCTCTCAGCCCAGACTCTCAATTGCACAGATCCATCCTGGGATCCACCAAGGTTGTAACAAAGATGGTGGGGTCCTGGCCAAGGAGGAAAGCACAGATAAAACTGCTTCTTGGAGATAACTGCACGTCACAGTTTAGCAGGCAGAGTCTGCTGTTCTGGTCCTATTGTGGATGCAGAAAATGCACGTGTACAACGGACAAGGATGAGGATTTCCAATGCAGAAAGTAGGAGAGGGGAAGGGAGGAAGGGACTGAGGAATGGGAGATGGGGGAGATGGCCACATGCAGAAGAGGTGCCATTAGAGGGAGCCCTGGCTCCCTGAGGGCACAGGTAGGAGGTCAAGGGAGAGGCTGGCCAGCAGGGCAAGAAGGTCATGGTGAAGGGAGTCCTGCCCCAGGGAATGGAAGGGATGTGAAGGGTCCAAGATGAGAGGGATCCATGGTCAGAGTGGCTGTGGTGCAAAAGAGGGTTAGGGTGAGGGGGACAGAAAGGGCGGCTGCCTGTGGTGAAGGCTCATCATGGATGAGGTGGTGACAGAGAGGGTATGGCAGTGAGGTGAGGGGCCCGAGGGCCTAGGTTGTGGCTCCAAGGGAGTTTAGGGCAGGCAGGTGCCCCTGGGGAGGTGGAGGTGTGGGCCTGGGCCCAGAGCAGAAAAGGCATGGTGAGGCCCCAGGTAAGGAGGTGGGTATACCTGCGGTGTCCCTGGGGAGAGGCAGGTGACAGGGGTCTCAAGGAGTTGGTGCAGTGTGCCCAAGGGCAGTTTAGAGTTAGAAGGGAGAGGGGCTGGCAAGAGATAATAGAACTTAAATGCCCACGGTGGGTGGGCAAGGTGCACAGCCTGGGGAAAGACCTAAATGGGCGGGAGTGGTTCAGGGTGGGGTGGAATCAAAGAAGGTTGAGGTTGGACACCAGCACAGAAGGGATGGTGCTGGGAGCAGGCCCGCTGTAGGGAAAGGCCAGAGCTGACCAAGAGGCATAAACAAGATTTTGGATACTTCATGTAGGGAGTGAGAGGCCACTGGGTCAAGGAACAAATTGGTGAGGTGGGGAGAGGAGGCCAAAGAAGCATTGGACCAAGAACCGTTTGCAGATCAGTGTGCGAATGGAGAGTAAGGTCCTAACCTGGCATCTAGAAACCTCCTACCTTGACACTGCATGTATTGGTGTTATCTGCACATGTGTCTTAATTTCAAGAGATGAGACATGCAATCATCAGATCAGCAGACTGCAAAGATTACACCCCTTAGAAGCTGAAAGGACTCTATATTAGGAGGAGGCTGGGACTGGGGTAGCCAGGGACTCTGAGTCTACCTATCACTCCTGCACAGAGAGATACTGAACAGTGGTGCAGGACAGTCCATCTCCTCCAGGGACCAGTCAGGGAAGTCAGAGCCACCAAGGATATGTGTCCAATTCCATCACAGAAATGTCATTACCTAAAAACCCCTGTGCCACACTTCTAAACCCACAAATGCTCCAACAGAACATCAGAAAACCAAAATCTGAGCTCACGTGAGATCACTGAAGATGTCTGAAAGGCTCTGTGAGACCTGTAGGTAGAAAGGACACCTCTATTTAGGGCTGCAGCCCAACAGCCCCTCTGCCTCATGGCTCCACAAAGGACCCTTTTTCTTCTGCAGCACACAGTGAGGACATTTCTGGGGAGAAATATATAACTGATTTGGGTTCCTGAGGTTTACACTTATTTGTCAACTTTGAGGATGTTGAATTCATCTTTGAACATGTTGGAATTAATTTGCTTTCACTCTAACTGTGGAACTGGGAAGTGTTTTTGAAGTAGTAGACTGACCCTGAGCTTTCACCCACTTCTTGGCTCAGGCAATAATTGTAGGAGATTTTGAGCCAAGAAAATTCATGGCTAGGTAAACAGTAAACTCTTCATTTCTGCAAATGTTTCAGATATTCCAGCTTGCCTAACAATATCCTAGCTTTACCTCATTTTAAAATGTCGATTTATCTTGCTGTTGAGTAAGCCACCTGGAATCAACCATTGAGATAAGATCAGTAAGCACATGTGTGGTTCTCCCTTGAATTACTGCTAACGCCACCTTAGATTGTACCAACCCTGAGTCCAGTTACTTCTCACACTCCACCCAGAACCATCTTCTTACAACAGTAAACAGGTAGCCATCCAGTGGGGCTCCTGCTTATCCTCATGTCCATTACCCACATAACAGACATAGTGATCTTTTCATTGTGAATGAGGACATGTCCTCACCACCACCTCCCACATAACACTCCATTGTCTCCCTCCTTGGGCAGAATGAGCTCCCTGTCCCTAACCACTGCCTACCAGTCCCTCAGGACAGGGCCCTTCTGACCATCCTGGCCTCTTCCCACAACTCTCAGCTCTGCTCACTGGTCTCTCCTTGCCCTGGCCTCTGGACACTGCCCCGTCCTGACTCAGGGCACCGGGCACCTGCCCTGCTGTGACTCCCAATTGGCACCTCCTCTCTAGGGACCCACATGACTGCTCCTCATACCACTCAGGTCTCTGCTGCAGTGTTCATGGTCAAGTCACCAGAGACATCCTGCCCAACAAACTGAGGTACATGCTCTGCCATCCGCTGCCCCCCCGACCCCCAATTTTCTAGCCCAGGCATATTTTTTCTCCATAGCAATTATGGCTGATATCTGAATAATTGTTTTTATTTGTTGTCTGTTTCATTGAAATATATGTTCTTTAAAGCAAAAACCTTGTCTGCTTGTCATCACTTGTATCTCCAGTATCTAAACAGTCCTAATACAGAGTAAGGACTCAATAAATATGGGCTGAATGAATAAAATACATCTCAGTATAGTGTTTTTGAGAAGCAATGTGATTACATGAATGATAAGCCTTAACAACATTCATACTCTGACCAAGTGATTTCTATTCAAGAAATCTATAATTTTCAAACTAAATATAGAAAGATATTTAGATATAAGGATATTAATGAAATATTATTTATAATGATAAAAAGATACAGAATAAGAGTGGTTATAACATTTTTTGGAAATATACAGCTGGTAAAAATGGTGTTTAAGAAGAGTTTGAATATCATATGATGGGCTTATTGATAACAAAGTTTTCAAAAGTAAGATTCAAAATAATTCATAATGTATGACTACAACTGCACAGTCCTGTATAAACCTGCAAGTACACAGAAAACACCTGGTGGAACTCCTGGAGGTGGCTAAGCACAGCCCCAGGGGCCCTGCATCTGAGCAATAAAGGCAACACTAAGAGTACGTATAGATTATGGATTGTCATGTAATTTCAATCCCACCACAGTGAGAGAGTGAGATGGTCTTTCATTTTCACAGTTTGAGAATCTGAGTCCCTGAGATTCTGAATGCCAGGGCTAGATTTCACAAAAATGTTGGCCTTGAAGGGCAATTTACCTCCTGGGAAGCCCACCAACAGAGACTGCCCAACTGGAGGAAGATCCATGCTGGGCCATACCCCAGGGACATTTCCATTTGCAGATGGTTCACATCCAGTGGGATGCAGACAAGGGGCCAAGGTCAGCACCTGGCCCCTTTCCTCAGTTGTGGGTGGCAGATGGGTGGGTCAACCATCCACCTAGTGTGGGTTTTGGCATTCCTAGAGCTATCTGTGGTTTTCCTCCTGAAGACCCCTGCATATACCAAAACTTCTATTTAGAAATGCAAACATAGAAAAAGTGTTCCAGTACCATGGCAGAAAAGACCCCCTAAATTTACAAGTTAGATAACTATAGCTCAACAAAGGATCCCCTGCTCTATGCACAAACATGACTGAAAGATCCATACATTGGAACTTCTGAAGGTGGGCAGACTGGAACAAGTAGGGGAGGTGGGAGAGGGGAAGGACAGAGTTGCGGCAGATGCAGTTCAGTGCCCCCCACAACTCCTGAGAGCATGGTAGCAGTGGAGAAATCAGGTTGCAGTCCTCACACTACATCTTGGATTGTAAGAGGGAAAGAAGTAGAGGTCCTGAATCAAAGGCCTCTCCTTTCCCTCTCTGCATCATGGCAGATCCCGTAGAAATGGGTGGTATGTTTAACACAACACAGCACAGCCCACAGACTTTACTAGAGGGGGCAGAACTGTGGGAGAGTGAATTGCCTCCCTTGTGCCACCCATCCTGGCACAGTCAAATAGAGGCAGTGGAGATGCCTCCAAAAACACAGCAGGGCCCATGACCATTAGTAAAAATGAGGTAGTGCTGGGCATTCACAAAACTGGTTCTCCACCACCTGCCACATTCTCCCACCACAGCGACAGAGCCCTATAAACAAAGCAAGCTGCTCACAGAGCGGACACTCATCATCCTGGGGGAACACAGCATTTTCTGTGACTCCACTTCACCCTAATCCAGAGGTGTAAGTAGTGCAGCTAAGAGAAAACAAAAACTTGCACTATAACACCACCACTGGAAAACAAAAGAAGGTACCCTACCTACCAACCTGCTTAATCATTGATGGTAAAACAGTACCTAAATGAGAAAAGAGCTCACTGCCTCAAATGTGCTGGCAGAGAAACAATCCGTTAAATACCATGAACAACAAAGGAAATATGGGAGCACAGAAAGAAAGTGAAAAGTCTCCAGAAATCAAACTCAAAGCCATGAAGACTGTGATGTAAATGGCAAAGAATTTAAGGTAGGAGTTATAAACAAGCTCATTGAGATACAAGAGAACTCAGAAAGGTGGGTCAGTGATCTCAGGAAGAAAATTAATGGGCAAAAAGAGTACTTTAACAGAGGATTGGAATTGTAAAAAAACAAAAACAAAACAAAACAAAAAAAAAACAAATGGAAATTCAGTAGCTGCAAAACCAATAAATGAGATGAGGAATTCATCAGAGAGCATGGAAAACAGGGTAGACCAAGGGGAAGAGAATTAGCTTGAAGACAGCAACCTAGAAATAACCCAGTAGTAAGAAGAGAGAGAAGTAAGAGTTATTTTTTTTTAAGTTGGGGGTGGGGGAGAACTCTACCGGAACCATCTGACTCCTTTAGAAAGAGCAACCTAACGATAATAGGTATACCAGAAGGAGAAGAGAGGGAGAGGGAAACAGAGAGCTTACTCAAAGAAATTATTGCGGGGAATTTCTGAAGCCAATGGAATGAGCTGTACATTAGAATAGAGAAGGTTAACAAAATACCTAATTATATCAAGGCAAAAAGACCTCTACAGGGAACATTTTATTCAGTGTCAAAAATTGATGACAGCCATGGTTGGTGTGGCTCAGTGGATTGAGTGCCATCCTGTGAACCAAAAGGTCGCCAGTTTGATTCCCAGTCTAGGGCACATGCCTGGGTTGCAGGCCAGGTCCCCAATAAGGGGCACACAAGCGGCAATCACACGTTGATGTTTCTCTCCCTCTATTTCTCCCTCCATTTCCCTCTCTCTAAAAATAAATAAATAAAATCTTTTTAAAAAATGAGGACAAAGAAATAATTCTTAAGTCAGCCAGAGGAAAAAGAGTATAATATACAAAGGAAGCCTCCTTAGATTATCATCACATCTCTCTGTAGAAACATTACAAGCCAGGAGAGAATGGAAGAAAATAGAAAGAGAGGAATCACCAGCTAAGGATAATATGTCCGGCAAAGTTTTCTCCTTTAGATAAAAAGGAGAAAAAAAGGCTTTCCAGACAAACAGATTTACTGCCACAAGACCTACATTACAAGAAATGTGGAAAGGAGCTCTTGTACTAAAAACAAAAAGACAAAAGGAAAAAAAAATTATGCTTAAGATGACTGACAGAAGCAGGAATTTGCAACTGTTCAAGAAGAGAATATTAAACACTTAATAATAACATAAAGATTAAAGGGGGGAGCCCTGATCAGTGTTACTCAGTTAGTTGGGCATCATCCTGCAAAGTAAAAGATTATCAGTTCAATATCCAGTCAGAGCACATGCCTGGGTTATGGGTTCAGTACTCAGTTGGGGTGCGTTTGAGAGGCAATCAATTTATGTTTCTCTCTCACTTCAGTTTCTCTCCTTCTCTTTCTCCCTCCCTTCCCCTTGCACTAAAAATAAATAAATAAGTAAATTTTTTAAAAAAGATTAAAGAGGAAAAGGTCATTGAAAATAACTAGAACTACTACAATATATTAATGAATAAAAAATATGAAAAGGGATAATTTGTTATAACAAAACAATAAAAGGGGGGATAAAAAGGCCTGAACAGGTATGGATAAATGAAGATACGAGGAAATCAGAAGAAAAAAGGCTATTGTAAGTATGATACATTTTACACAAACCTAATGGTAACCATAAAAGAATAATTTAGAGCTGACAAAAACACACACACACACAAAGAAGAAAAACCACCAAATTAAAGTAGGAAAAAAATCATAAAGGGAAAGAAACAATAGGAGGTACAGAGCAATCAGAAAACAAAGAATAAAGTAAATGTAGTAAGTCCTCATATATTGGTAAACACCCTAAATGTTAATAAACTGTCAACAACCAAAAGGCACAGGGCAGCTCATGAATTTAAAAATTAGACCTAACCATGTTACCTGGAGGAGACTCATCTCAGCTCCAAAGACAAACACAGGCTAAAAGTGAAGAAAAAGATGATTATTCTTGAAGCAAATGGCATCCAAAGAAAAGCTGGTATGGCAGTACTTATGTCAGATAAAATAGATTTCAAGAGAAAAATGGAAACGAGACAAATAAGAACATTTTTAAATGATAAAGAGGCAACTGACTTCCTGTTAAGATGGAAGTGCAGGTAAAGAGCTTCATCTACTTGCCCAACTACAGAAAAAATTACATCTAGACCACAAAACAAATATCACCCAGAACCATCAGAAAATTGAGCTGTCTCAAAGTCCAACAACCAAGGATATAAAGAAGCCACATTCATCTAGATAGATAGGAAGGGCAGAGGTGCAGTGTGGTGTGGAGCAGCAGTGGAAAAGGCAGTCCCATATTTATGTGTGGTAAACAAAAATTGGGAAGGATATCTTGGGAGCGAGTGATCCCAGCTCCCGGCCAGACCACACAGCCCAGGGTTCCAGCACCAGGAAGATAAATTTCCATAATTTCTGGCTGTATGAACTAGCGGGAGTTGGGGTGGCAGAAGAAACTGTCAGATTTTCAGGAGACTCCTCTTAAAGGGCCTGCATGGACTTAGGACTTATGCAGACCCACTCTTTCTAGAATTCAGCACCAGGGCAACAGCTGGAAGGGCACCAGTCACATATGGGGGAAAAGTGAAGTGACTGGAGACAGGGTGAGTGCCGGGAGACAGCTTCCTCCCAGGCAAACATCCAGAAGCCAGGGAGTGGCATTGTCCCATCTCAGAGCCCTTCCCCCACAGAGAGCCACAAAGTGGTGAAGTGAGTTGTCCCACCCAGGCAATTACATAACACTTGGCCCCAAGCAATTTACAGGTGCCTTTTCAACAATAGGGCATGTGACTAACACAGGGAGTCAATCAGCTTTACCTAACACACAGAAACAAACACAGGGAGACTGCCAAATTGAGAAGACAAAGAAATATGGCCCAGATGACAGAACAGAACAAAACTCCAGAAAAATAACTGAACAAAATAAAGAAAAGCAACATATCAAAACACTGGTTATCAGGATGCTCAAACACTCATTGAGTATGGCAAAAGTATAAAAAAGACCTAGGCAAAAATGGAGGTTACATTAAACAAAATAAACAAAAATCTACAGGGAACCAACAGTGGAGAGGATGAAGTGGAGAATCAAATCAACAATTTGGAACATAAGGAAGAAAAAAACATCAAACTGATACAGCAAGAAGAACAAAGAATTTTTTAAAACTTGAGGATAGCCTAGGGATCCTCTGGGACATCTCCAAACATACCAACATCTGAATCATAGGGATGCCAGAAAGAAAAGAAGAAGAGCAAGAAATTGAAAACTTATTTGAAAAAATAATGAAAGAAAACTTCCCTAATCTGGTGAAGGAAATAGATGTACAAGTTCAGGAACCACAGAGATTCCCAAACAGGTTGGACACAAAGAGGACCACACCAAGACACATTGTAATTAAAATGCCAAATGTTAAAGATAAAGAGAGAATCTTAAAAGCAGCAAGAGAAAAGCAGAGAATTATCTACAAAGGAGTTCCCATAAGACTGTTAGTTTATTTCTCAGGAGAAACTTTGCAGGCTAGAAGGGACTGGCAAGAAGTAATCAAAGTGATGAAAAGCAAGGACCTACAATTTAGATTACTTTATCTAGCAAAGCTATCATTTAGAATTGAAGGGCAGACAAAGTGCTTCCCAAACAAGGTAAAGCTAAAGGAGTTCATCATCACCAAGCCCTTAATACATGAAATGGTAAAGGGACTTAAGTAAAAGAAGATCAAAACTATGAACATTAAAATGATGAAAAATTGAGGAGGGCAAGATGGTGGAGGAGTGAATGGAAGTGATACTGACTTCCTCCCAGGACCAATCTGGAATTACAACTAAAT